AAATAAAATATTTCACATAAACAGGGTTGAAATTTTGAAATTCCTGCCCGTTGTTGTAAGTCAAATATTAGTGGCATTGTGCTACTATGATTGCACGGCTGAGTAATCATATTCAACTTATGTACAGCAGTCGAAAAAATTATAGCCACATCAAATTTTTACAAGTTTTAAAATATTATTTTTGTTGTTATTTAATTTTGGTTAGTTTTTTATAGTTCATTCTTTAACAACATCCGTATAAATACAAGTTTAAAGGCAGTGTCACACGATTGGGTATTTGCCGAAATTTGGTGTAAATCGTATACCAATTGTGTGAATACCCAAATATTATTTGTTGAAATTTTTCAATAGAAGACTGCTGTATTGTACCAATCCTATGACTACAAAAAAAGTCCAAATTTGTTTATTTTGTCCCAATAGCCCAACATAAAAATGCACAAATCTGTACAAATTTACAATTGAGTGACACTGCATTATAAATTTATGAAATTAAAAAAAAAAATCAACAAGTCTTCGCAAAAATTTCGAGTTTTTAATTAGATTCTGAGTAGGCAGTTTTGTAGCCCACTGAATTCTAGTAGAATAAAGTTCAAGTTTCAAATGCCTAAAATTTACGGTTGATTTTTTGGAATTTTCAAAAAGCTCAAAATTTTGTACGAAAGTTTGTTGAATTTTTTTCAATATTGCACAAAGTTGGAAACTTGGATTTTCAAGAGGTTTGTTAAAGAATGAACTATATTTTTATAAAAATAAAATAAACAACAAAAACAATACGCTAAACCTTGGCAAAAAGTGGTTCGGCTATAATTTTTTTACCACTGTATGTATTTTTTATATGTTTAATTGGGCATGCACATTATACATAACGGTATGTACTAGGGATGTTAATTTTTCGTTTTTTACGATCCCGAGATTTTCGGGATGTCGTTCTCACAGTCCCGTGATTAGTCCGGGATTAGTGTCCATTACTTTTCAACAACTTAAATCGAAGAAATTGCTTCTTTATTGTTCGAGAAGCTCTCCCACCATACAATAAATAATAAATAAACGGGTCTAAAACCTACTTTATTATTTAAAGTGACATTTTTATTTTTTTCTCTGACGTCAGGATTTATTTTAAAGGACTTTGTAATTTCAAACATATGAAAAGAAAGAGGAAATTTCTTTAGAATTAAAAAATAATTAAAATTTTTTTGATTCACAAGGACGAATAGGTAATTTTTTAAGCTGATAAAGTTAGAACGACCAAATTCGAGGATGTTATAGAGTTTATATAAGTCCTTAACATATAATTTAAAAAAAAAATCAAATATTGCGAAATTTCAGGGATACAATTTTAACCCTTCGATTTGTGAGAAGGTCCCTAGGGACCTTTTCGTATTTCATGTGCCTATATCTTTTTGTTCAATGCATTTTTGAAAAGAATTTATACATGTATTCCAAGAATAAATTAAGCTGAATCGTTTAAAATAAGTTTCGAATGGATACGGGATCACGTTCGAGTGTTATTGAGATTTCAACATATATA